TATAGAAATGTTTAATATATCAGCAAATCAGCAAATCTAATATATCAGTGATCAGCAAATAGATGTAGGCATGAGAGCACAAAGCTCTGTGCCTGCCCCCGCAGCTGGAGCGGAGCTGGAGGCAGGAGCAGCTCTGCACTTGCTCAGAACTGCCAGCAGCTGGGAAGTTTCTGTGTGTGTGTTTGGCCTCCATGAACACAGCCTTTCGTGGCTGTTCCAGCCCAAAGTGTTTCCAGTCCTGAAGCACAGCTATTTATCCTGGGGGAACGACGATTCCACCCGCACAGCAGGAATTGGGTCGCGTTCTAGTACAATAATACGTGTCACAGCCTGGAGTCCTGCTCTGAAATAACCGAGTCTTTGAGGACAGCTGCGAGTGTCTGGGGAAAAGCTCTGGTTCAGCCTTTGTCTCGTGTCACTGGCAAATCCTCGGAGCTCAGAGCACCCAGCAGAGCGCTGCATTCCCTTAAGTGCCGCCGGGAGGGGACAGCCTGGGCCGTGCCCGGGGGCTCGCTCACCTCTGGTGGGCAAAGGCGCTCCGGTTGAACACCCACTTGGAGGGCTTGTCCTGCAGTTCTTGGCCCAGGGAGTTGGTGATGGGGACAAACGAGGGGTCCAGGAACTTCAGCGCAAACTGAGACCTGGAGATGGGCACAGACACTGAAACATGAGCACACACGGACACACATGGACACACATGGAGACACACGGACACACGTGGAGACACACGGACACACATGGACACACATGGACACACAGAGACAGCCATGTACACACTTGGAGACACATGGAGACACCCACGGACACATGGAGACACATGGAGACACCCACACACACACATGGAGACACCCACACACACAGAGACATCCGTGCACACACGGAGACGCATGGATACACCCACGGACACACACGGATGCACATGGAGACACACGGAGACACCCACACACACACGGAGACACCCACACACACACACGGAGACACCCACACACACACATGGAGACACCCACACACACACACGGAGACACCCACACAGCACACACGAGAACACCCACACACACACATGGAGACACCCACACACACACATGGAGACACCCACACAGCACACACGAGAACACCCACGCAGACACAGAGACACCCACGCAAGCACACACCACAGCCCCACACAGACACTCCCCACAGCCCCTCACCGGCCGTGCCCGACCCTCCCCGCGGCCGCC